CGGGGGGAGGTCTCGGGGCAGGGGAATATGAGCCAGCGGGTGGGCCGGGGTCGGCGGGGTCTCCGGGCACACAGCTGCGGGGAGCCTGGGTCTGTGTCCGGAAGCGGCGGCCCGGCGTGAGAGCGGGGCCCGCTGAAAGGCCGGGACCGGCGCAGTGATCGAACAGGGGGCCCCCGTTTTCTTCCTCTTAACGGTTACCCGGTGTTGAACCCCTGCTCCAGGCCAAGTGGTGCGTAAAATGTGGCACCCATGACCCCACGCTATGCTCCCAGCCCATTCCACAGACCAGGGAAACTGGGGTTCCCAGAGGTCGGAATACCTTGGCCAAGGTCACGCAGCTGCGGAGACCTGGAGCTGGGCTGGGAACTGAGCTTTGGAGACCCGGAAGCCCCGCCCCTTTCCCGGAGGCCCCGCCTTCCAGCCGCCTCTCCGGGTCCCCTACCCCAGCGCCTGTGGTCTTAGCGCTGCCGACTCTCCGCCCCGCCCGGCCCCCTCGCAGCTGCCAGCCGCTGCCAGCGGAGAGGCCAGTGGCTACAATCCCTCACCCTAAGTGTGAGAGGGGACTGAGCCTGCGGGGTCATTTGTCGGCGAGGGACGTTGCCCGAGGCCATGTGGTGACTCAGGGCTTGCCTTGTCAAGTGGGTCTACTCAGGCCCCTCGCCGGCTCCGAGGGCTGGAGAACTCGCCCGGGGCCGGGCGCATCTGGACTGTGGCAATTTGGAAGGTGTCTAGTGCCCACCTACTATGTGGCGGGCGTGGTGTGGGTGCTGGGATGTAACAGGGAACAAGAGACCAAGGTGCCCGCTCTCCCCGGGGTGACACGGGGCATTTCAGTCGTGGGATCTGACCCCCAGGGGCTGGGGTGGGGACCGCTTTTGGGGAGAGTTAACACGGCCGGGTAGGGGTGAGGACATGCAGAAAAGGCAGGCGCCAAGGCCCTGGGGTGGAGGGCGTTGGAGAACGACAAGAAAGCAGCCGTGGGAGCGAGACCGGACAGCCGGGCAGGCGGAACCAGGCCCAGGAGCCCCTGTAGGGCAAGTGCAAGATTGTTACAATTGCCTTGAGAGGTTGCGAGAAGGGACTGCCGTGATCTGATGACAGTTCAGAGAGGTCCTCGGGCCTCTGGAGACAGAGCGGCTCGCAGGGATGCCGGCTAGGAGGGGGTGTAGCCACCAGGTGAGGGCAGCTAGGGCCAGGGCAGCGGAGGCTGGAGAAGGCCGAGCCCGGACTGCCTGGCCCGGCTGGGGCCTCCCGCCTGCCTCCCCGCCGAGGCCGTCACTCCCGACACTGCCTCCCGGTAACAGACAGTGTCCCCAACGCTGCCCTTCCCTTGGGTGGGCATCTCCCGCTCCTCTCCCTGCCTCGGAGCCCCCAGGGGTCCCCCAGCTCGTGCACGCTGCAGTCTCAGCGCCCTGTAGCCTGGCATTCGTGGTCCTACCTCTGCCCGTGTCTCACCGTGCCCACGGCTCCGGCACAGAGGCTGCCTGAACCCATCTCCCTGTGCCCTGCCTGCCTCCCCTGCCCCTGGCAGAAGACCCTCTCCGGGCTCTTTTCTGAGATCTGCCACCCCCAAGTCCAAGGCCAGGAAGCACCCGCCCCCCCCATGCTGCCCCTGGAGGCCCAGGAACCGACCTGTGCCTCCCTGGCCCCTCAGCCAGCGAGCAACTAGCCCGGGGCCTGGCACAGGGCCGGTGCCCACAAGTGTGGGTGAGAGGAGCGAGGAGGGGCCACGCCGCCCGCCCGCCCTGCTCTGGGCTCCGGCTGGCCCGTGTCCTGAGAGCCCTGTCTTCCCGTGCCAGCCTCTCCCCTCCCCGCTCCGGCCTCAGCCTGCCCAGACGCCCATTTCTGGCTCCGTCCATGGCCGTCTGGGTGGCCAGATTGTCAGCCAGGAGACTCCCCACTCCCTTGAGGGCCCCCGCATGACCCCCCACCCTGGATCCGGCCTCTGGCCTTTCCCACGCCCCCCCATGCCCCCCCTGGGACGGCCCAGCCCATGCTGTGGGTGCCGTCACATCACCCTGAGCCAGACCCTGAACCCGAGGCGGCCCCATGTGGGCTGGAAGGCAGGGTTCACCCTTTGGGGGAAGGGTCTCTGGAGTGGGGGACTCTCCAAGTCCATAGCTGCGTGACCCCCAGCTCTGCACGTCCCCACCCCCCGCCTCCCGCCCCAAGACTCTTACACGTCTTGGAATCTGAAAGTCCTGACGGTGCGTGCCAGCTTGGCCACGTCCCAGGGGCAGCCCCTTCTGGAGCTTTTCCGTCTGGGAAGCAGGGACAGTAACAGCACCTCCCTCCCGGACCAGTGTCCACTAGGGGGTGCAAGTATCTTGCCGGGCGACAACCCCGAGTCCTGTGGATGTTGGGGTCTCAGTGTGGTAAGGAGTAGGAGCCCTTGGGGGCAGGGCTTGCAGGATTTGGGGACCCAAGGAGGCAGTGACCACAGAGCTGGCCGCTCTAACTGCTGCGCTCTGTCCCCTCAGCTCACCACCTGTAAACATCCTCCTTTTCTCCCCACAGGAAGCAAGACCCGAGAAGGGGTGGTACAAGGTGTGGCTTCAGGTACCAGCCCGGCCCTGGCTCAGGCCCCTCCTCTCGCCCGGGCCTGTGACCTGGCCGGGAACCAGAGGGTGGGGGCCGGGGGGTGGGGGGTTCCCGAGGCTTCTGTGAGGGGTGCTCCGTGGGGAGGGCAGGCCCCGGGACACCACGGGGGGGTGTGTGCTGCCTTCACCCGGCCCCCAAGCCCCCTCCCTGCTCCAGTGGCGGAGAAGACCAAGGAGCAGGCCTCACATCTGGGAGGAGCCGTCTTCTCCGGGGCTGGCAACATCGCGGCAGCCACGGGCCTGGTGAAGAAGGAGGAATTCCCCACCGATCTGAAGGTACACACACTCACACACACGCCACGCACACACGCGCACACACACATCAGGCACACACATACACCTGCCACGACCCTCCGCCCTCTCCCTGCCAGCCTGGGGCGCCGGCCACCCTGCTGGCGTCCTGCAGGGCTGTGCTAGACTCTGCCCAGAGGGGGCGGATGAAGGAATGCAGGAGCGTGTGTGCCCACCACGGGGTCCCAGTCCTGCTGTCCGCGTGGATTCTGTTTGTCGGCGTGACCTGGCCACGTCTGCATGTGTCGCCGATCGGCCATTCATTTCTTCTGCTCATTCGACAAACGTCCACACCACAGAGGCGCTGTTCTAGAGGTCGCCGCCCCACATAGGTCCCTGCATTCACGCAGCTGACGCTGCCGAGGAAGAAGAGAGACAGTGGGCTGCACGCCTGCGTGCAAGGTGGCTTCAGCAGGGACAGGCGCTATGAAGAAAAGGCAGCCAGGGCGGCGGGCTGACAGTCAAGAGGAGAGAGGGCTACTACTTTAGCTGGGAGGGCTTCTCGGAGGAGGTGCCATGTGTACTGACACCCAAGGGATGAGAGACAGGCAGCCCTGAGATGTGGGGGAAGCGTGTTCCAGGCAGTAGGAACAGGAAGTGCGGAGGGCCTGAGGCAGGTGCGAGCCATGGCAGGTAGGGGGTGATCGGAGCAGCCACGTGTCCCCAGGGGAGCAGTGGTGGTGTGTGCATGGAAACAGAAGCCATTAGGGCCCCTGTAGGGCGAGAGCTGTGAGCTCTGGAGTTCCCCAGAGCCGGACTGAATCCCAGCTGCACCCCTTCCTGGCTGCGTGACCTTGGACGGAACCCATCACGTCCCCGAGCCTGACGATTTGCTTGTAGAATGCAGATGGGCGTGACAGGACTGGAGATCACGTAGATGAGAGGGTCTCCAAACTGGGGTGTGCTTCAGAGTCACCAGGAGGCCCCATCCCTAGAATTTCTAATTCAGTAGGTCCCAGATGGGGCTGGAGAATGTGCATGTCTAGCGAGGCCCCAGGGGATACTAAGGCTATGGTTCCAGGGAACACTCTTTGGGAACCACTGATATACAGAGGCTGGCTCACATCCAGTGGGCTCCCCAAAAGAGACCGTGGCCAGTGATCATGCAGGCGGTCAGTGTCCACCCCCAGGGGATCATGTGACCACAGGTGTGTGGGTGTGTGTGTGTGTGTGTGTGTGTGTGTGTGTGTGTGTGTGTGTGTAAGGGCATTCCTCTGTGGGTGTGCCGTGACTGTCCATGGCCGTATGCAAACCCTGTATCTGTCCATGGCCATATGCAAACCCTGCCTCCCTGGTGCTGGGGGCTCTTTCTGCAGCTTTTAGTTGGGGTGCCGGTGTGCATTCAGCACAAGTGCACCCCTCAGACAGTGGGACCCTCACACCACCCTCCACTCCAGACACGCGGCACAGCTGGTTTCTTCCCGTTCAAATCCCGTCTCAAGTCTTTACCCGCCGCGTGACTTCCTGTTGTGTGTGATCCTGTCACCAGTTATCACTCCCATCCAGTGAACTCTCGCACGAGCGGGCTCCGTCCTAAACTCTTTACATGGGCTAGCTCGACCCTTCACAGTGTCCTTTGAGGCAGGCACCGGAGCGGCCCATTTTACAGACGAAGAAACTGAGGCTCAGAGAGGTGAAGTGGCTTGCCCAAGATCCCAGTTCCTGCCCGCCACCCTCGAAAAGTTGGGAGGATGAGCTCAGGCCCAGGTCATCAGAGTCACTTGGTGTCGACGTGGGGCCAGGCCCCGTGCTGGGAGCTGGGGTGCAGAGAGAGGGACTCCGGCCTGACACATAGGGCTGGAATCACCTCTCTCTGATCGCCTTCTTCCTGCCAGTGCTTGTTGACACTTCAGGACGGCTCTCTCAAGGGAGCTCAAGGTCAGAGTTATAATCCACATGACAGCCCTTTGGGACCACGGGGGTGGGGGAGCCCACGCAAGCCCAGGGCTTGCCATCTTCCAGCTTGCTTTCCTAACGTCCCCATGGACGCCCCTCACCACACGCCCATAAGACAGCAGGCACCAGCCTCACTCTCCAGCTGCGGAGAGTAGAGGTGAATTACTTACCCGATGCCACATGGCTTGCAAGTGGCCAGGCTAAGGTTTGTGTTTGTGTGTGTGTGAGAGAGAGAGAGAGAGAGACACACACACACACACACACACACACACACGGGGGTCTCGCTGTGTTGCCCAGGCTGGTCTCAAACTCCTATCCTCAGTTGATCCTCCTGCCTCAGCCTTCCAAGTTGCTAAGATGACAAGTTATGAGATTTTTTTTGTTTTATGTTTTTGCCAGGATCTTCCTCCGTCACCCAGGCTAGAGTGCAGTGGTGCAGTCACGGCTTACTGCAGCCTCAAACTCCTGGGCTCAAGCTTCCTGAGTAGCTGGGTCTACAGGCATGCGCCACTATGCTAATTTTTTTTTTTTTTTTTTGGTAGAGACTGTGTCGATGAATTGCTCAGGCTGGTTGGGGATTGTTTTAAGTGACCTTTTTATTGAGGCATAACAGACATGCAGAAACCTGCAGCTCTGTGAACTTTCCGCAAAGGGGGCTCCCCCATGTAACCAGCGGCCAGCTCAGTCAGAACAGCAGCCCCCAGGACCCCTCTTTGTGCCCCTCCCATTCCTGCCCCCAAGGCCAGGACGAAGAGCCTTGGACAAGGGAAGTGTCTGGGGCTCACTCATGGCGTCTCATGTGCCTGGCCCCAGCGAGTGCCCCCTAATGCTGGCACCGGGCACCTCCCTGGGTCCTGGTCCTGCCGCTCCAACCCCGGACACCTCCCCCATCGCCCTCGGCCCTGGCCTGCCTCCCCCTCCAAGGAGAGCTGCTTCTTGACTTCTGTGCCACACACTGGCTGGGTACTTGTTTCCTTCGTGTAAATGTTGCCATGAAGTCCAAGCTCCTCCGTGTGTGCCCTCTTTTTTTTTTTAATCGAGTCAGAGTCTTACTCTGTCATCCAGGCTGGAGTGCAGTGACACGCTCATGCCCACCGCAGCCTTGGCCTGCTGGGCTTGCGATCCTTCCATCTCAGCCTTCCAAGGAGCTGGAACGACAGGCGTGAGCCACCATGCCTGGCTAATTTTTTAAAAAATGTATTGTAGAGATGAGGTCTCACCAAGTTGCCCAGGCTGTTCTCGAACCCATGGGCTCAGGCAATCCCCTCACCTCAGCCTCCCAAAGTACTGGGATGACAGGCTTGAGCCATTGCACCTGGCCCAAGTGTGCCATCTTTCATTCAATGGCAAGTTCCTGAGGTTCTGTGTCTGCCCCATGTGCTGTCACCCTCCGTCCCTGCTGTGTGGTGTCCACCGTGTGATCAGTCCACCGTGTGCACGCCACTGGACATTTGGTTGTTTCCAAACAATGATTTCACTGGAATTTTTAACACTATGTTCCGTCTATTGGTTCTAGTCATAGCTGGGTAGCTTGGGGGCATATTATCCTTCCCCCTCCTCCTGGACCTTGGCATACCCATCTGTACAATGGGGGAGGTGGACCAGGTCGGGCTGCGAATTCATGTGCCCACAGGGACTGCCTGGACAGATCAGGGAAAGAGCTGGCACTGCCTGGATGTGGCGGGGCAGGCCTTCCCGGGGCATGGCCGCTCACGTGGGGTTCTGTATAGCCGTGCACGGACCCAGGTCATCCTGTGTGCAGCTGGCTCAGTCCTGTGTCTGTGCACATACATGTGTTCGCCTTCAGGTGGCCAGCCATGTGTCTGGCAGCGGGCACACGCATGCCCGCTGGTCTGCGCCTGTCTGGGCAGCAGATGCGGGGGGGAGGGGAGAGTCTTAGCTCTCACATCCAAGCAACACCACGAGCTGTTGCTTCCAGCTTATCTTAAAATAGCAACAGCTGAAGAAACCAGGCCACACAGGAGCCCGGGGGAGGGATGGGTGGAAAGTGGCAGGGAAATGGCTCAGAGCCCCTGCCCAGCCTGTCCCCGCACTTCCATCTCCCTCCAGTCCCGGGAGCCCCCTGGGCTCTCTCTGGGGTCCCGACGGCCTGCACAAAGCCTGACACGGGTGCGAGTAATGAGTGGATGGCAGGGTGTGCTGTCTGGCCCGCATCCCAACCCGTCCACACGGTGCAAGGGCCGGGGGCGTCAGGAGGGGTGCGGAGAGCCAGCTCCCTGTACACCCTCCTCCCTGCTCCACAAGGTGGCAGGGAGGGGTCTCACCCTTCATCCCTCCACCCCACTTCCAAGGTAACATTCTTGCACCGCCAGCCCCCCAGCCGCCCCTTCCCAATCAGCCCGGAGCTCACCAGCGTAGGGATTTGGGGGGATCCTGGCTGCTCCCACCGCCCCTGCCCTTTCTGCCCGCAGCCAGAGGAAGTGGCCCAGGAAGCTGGTGAGGAGCCGCTGATCGAGCCCCTGATGGAGCCGGAAGGGGAGAGTTATGAGGAGCCACCGCAGGTGAGAGCAGCGGGCTTCAGGGGACGGGGCATCCAGAAGGGCAGCGGCTGCCCCCAGCTGGGGCGGGAGGTCCCTGGTAGGATATGGCCGGGCCAGGGAGCCTCGGGAACCCCCGGCCTCGGGAGGCGGGAGGCGGGAGGGGAGGACACGCGGGGCCTGGCACTGAGCCTCAGGCAAGCCTCGGTGGCTCCCCGACTTCCAGGTTCCTCTCCGGCCGGGCTAGGGGCCCGCGGGTCCTCCTGGAGGGGCGGGATCTGGAGCCTGGGCCCAGCCACTCGGTGTCCAACTCCTCCTCCCTTTTGCTCTTCTCTGCCCCACCCCCGCCCCTGGAACGCAGGAGGAATATCAGGAGTACGAGCCAGAGGCGTAGGGGCCCAGGACGGCCCCCACCAGCAGCACAATTCCATCCCTGGCCCCCGCCCGTCCCCCAGAGCCAGGGCGGACCTTCCACCCCTTCTCCCCAAACACGAGCTCTTCCTTCCGCTCCGAGGCGCCACCTCG